TTTTAAGTATTTTAAGTACATGTATGTATATATATATATATATATATATATATATATATATATATATAATTTTATTCCAGTCAATGTTTATTTTATTTCAAGTAATGAACATTTTTTTTTTATGGTTTTTGTTTTCATTTTAGTTTTAGTAAAAATGTCAAATACCCTAAAAATGTGGACCAAAATTAACTGATCAAATCTAAAAATATATATTTTTAAATATGACAATGAACCTAACTGCATTAGATTAAATAATTTCTTATTTTGTTTCTAACAACATCACAACAGTACAGCCAGGGGGTTAAATGAAAAAAAAAATGGTGAAAATAAAGAAAAGAGAAAAAAAAACATAATAAACAATAACATGAAGTACATAAAAAGAGAGCATAAACTAGTAGCCTTTATACATTTCCTATTAGTACAAAGTCAAATAACGGATACATAATTTTCTATTTCTAAAAAAGCTACACAAAAAGATGGTGTTGTGTTGGAAAATGTACATTTATGTGAAACTAAACTAATAATTAGATTACACTAAGCTTTTAAAGCTTCATTTAATCATTTAATCTCTATGCCTCACTAAACGCAATTGCAGAAGTAGTAACTGTTTTCAAACAAGTTTAATATTCCATTGGTTGGGCTATAGAAAGTCCCGCCCCCAAATTCACAACATTGGTTGAGCCAACATTGCCTAGTCAGAAGCATTTTTTTTTTTTTTTTTCATTTTATTTTGAAGAATGTTGGTAAACAGACAGTTGATAGTCCCCATTGACTTCCATAGGAACTTCCAAATGTTCACGCAAAGAAAGAAGGCGTGTTGAAGCAGCATGTCAGGGAGACGCTGTGTGTTTCTAGGCGAAAGCAAAAGCACTTTATTTGGCCTTCCGAAAGTAGATGCATTTAGGAATCGTTAAGATTACTTACAACAGAACAGCAATGCATTTTATGGACGACCGTTTTGTGAACCTAGGAGAGGAGGTAATTCTGACTTTGCTATGACAATCTGGCGCTTCTGAATCAGCTACTGTAA